GGGCACATGGTGTAGTTGGTTATCACGCCCGCTTAGCATCCGCGTCTGCGGGCGGTCCCCGGTTCAATTCCGGGTGTGTCCATAAGTCGTATCAGCGATGATTTTGGATCTTGTTCAGCCAACCGTGTGGTGGGCCACTGAGGCTGAGTAATCTTCATCCATGGACAAGTTATCGTCAGCAACTATCGTCGATCTGTTTTCCTTATATGCACATAGGTTGCTCCCTTGTGGCGCATTTATCAGTCGTCTTGACCATTAAGAACAGGGCACATGGTGTAGTTGGTTATCACGCCCGCTTAGCATGCGGGCGGTCCCCGGTTCAATTCCGGGTGTGTCCATGGAAGAAGAGCCCACTTGTGGCTGTTTTTAGGTTTGACTTATTATTATTGCTATTTTGACATCAATGTAGCGCCACCTCCTACGCATCTCGATCATGCCTTTATTCAGAAAGCACATCCCACATGCCATAACCAAATATTACCGCACCTCCTTATGTACCATATTTCCGCATCTGCACATAGTCCATGACAGAGTAAGGGTTGGACTTTGTTACAGCCCTGCTTTTTATGCAAAACTGAAACACTAAGTAGTTGATTTACTCAATGCGCTGTTTACAATCGACTCATCTCAAGTATTCCGCAAGGCTCCTGCATTTTGGCTTCGGGCCTCTCAGCCGGGAGTGCGAATCTCTCTCATGGATACCTTAGTATATGGGCACATGGTGTAGTTGGTTATCACACCCGCTTTGCAGGTCGTAATTCTTGGCTTCCCTGCGGGTGGTCCCCGGTTCAATTCCGGGTGTGTCCATTCGGCTGTCGAGGAGGATGTTTGCTACAGATTTCGAATATTGTTCCAAGAACTTTTGCTTCCGCTTGATCGAAATCCCTGAAACTAAGGTTTCGATCTCCTGAAACATGCCACACACTAGCCACGTGAACACATACACACAGATATATATATATATATATATACATCGTATGGATATGGGCACATGGTGTAGTTGGTTATCACGCCCGCTTAGCATTTTCGCGGTCTGCGGGCGGTCCCCGGTTCAATTCCGGGTGTGTCCAACGTTTTACTTATTTGTGTTTGTGATCACTCTCAATTGCGCCACATCCATCGTCCACAGAGGACAACTCGCAGAGCTTTGGTTTACACGGGCACATGGTGTAGTTGGTTATCACGCCCGCTTAGCATCCGCGTCTGCGGGCGGTCCCCGGTTCAATTCCGGGTGTGTCCAGAAGTGTTTGGGTTCATCATTACCTTTCTCCTGAATACATGCCAGGCTATGCAAGCCAGGTGTATTCATATCTGATCCTTACTTGAAAGAGGCCCTAGTGGTCTTGGCATTGAAGCAAAGTGAATGCTCAGAGCAATCAGAAGATTGAAAGCATTGTATTTGCGATCGTCCCATTTTGGCGTCTCCCCTTGGGCTTCAGAATGTTCGACCCGTGGCCCAACTGTACACGTGCCTACGCGCAATTACGAAGTGATATAGAAGGGTCCATGCTGGCATTTTGGCACTCTCATCATCCCAGGATGCCCGCTGAGGTTTATGTACAACGGCCCAAGGTCGCCTGTTCTCGTCCTCGCAGCTCTTATTGTCACTGCTGTAATCACCGGCGCCCTTCAAATGTAAGGTTGTGGAACAGGTCAAGGACGACATTGTGCTTACACTTCTTCCACCTAAAAACATCCTGAGGATAGCGAACATATTCCAAAGCATGTACGAATTATGGAAGGGGTATTCGTATCCGTGTCTGTATTATACAGGAAAGAAGAATCCCATGGTACTTGTAGTTAACAAGATTCAAGAATACGACTATATACCACTAAAACAGGAGAGACAAAGAAGCCGCACTATAAATACAGTTCATACCTACACCAACGGCCAGCACCCCAGGCCACCGCTAGCAAAATACGTAGCGACACCGAGGCTGCCGGGGCATTTCTCGAAATCGGAGGATTGGTGCTGCGTGCGTGCGAGCGGCGGGCGTCGTTGAAGTTGACGTAGGGGGTAGCAGCGCACGGGCATTTGCCCAGCCAGGTCTAAAGATCAACCGACGATTCCACTAGAGCGTGTGTGGCCATGAATCCAGGCCGTGTCGTCCCAGATATCTCCTCTCACATCCCTCCTGAAGCTCGTGTCTAAAACCTCCTCGGCGTGGCGAACGGATTCACGGGTGTCTATATCGCAGGCGCGAACATATTCTTTGCCTGCGGGGTGGGCCCGGCGGTGGTGGTGGTGCGCTCGAGCTCTCTGATTTCGGCTGAGATGAGCTCGCGTCCTGAGGCGCGGAGGTATGTTGAGGGAGAGTGGATGCGTAAGTGTTGCTAGGGAGATGGGGAAGCGAGACTGTGTCCCGCAAACTGCAGCTGTGTGCTTATCGTCATCATCTGTCCCCCATTCACGTTTATACACACAGCGCCTGGCTAAACGGTAGATGAAGAAGATACGGAGGCGGATACGGAGGAAGAAGCGGTGAGCGGGGCGGCGACGAAGGGAGACATCTTGATTGGGGAGGGCGGGAAATTCTCGAGAATGTACGCGTAGATACGGAGTTCCTGTACACGCTGCCAGTCAGTGAATGCATAATCACAATTGGATGGCGGGAGACGAAGGGATTGGCGTTGGTGAAGGTGGCGTTGGCGTTGGTAGGTGGGTTAATATTCGATTCTGTGACGGGCTTGAACAAGGGTGGCAGACCTGCGCGTGCGCGTGCTGCTGGGTCGGCGAGGAGGTCGGGGCATGGTGGTGGTGGGCAGCCAGTGGACTGGTAGGACGCGAGGTAGTCGACAATGCGGGCTTGTTGGTGGTGTTAGTAGGCGCGTGGTAGAAGCAAGGGCGCTGACCTCAAACGATTGGCCAGGGGAGTCGAAGGAGACAGAGAGGTACATGTACAGCGGCTCTGCTTCCACCTGCGTCGTGGAACGCGCCGTGAGAGCCATCGGCGCCGGCGTTGGTAGTCGTGGAAGAGAGTCAAGGCTGCGGTCAATTACTGATGCAACCACACTCTGGCTGGGCTCGGATTGATCGGATCGATCAGTGCCTCAGGGTCTGATGGGATTGACCCTGATGATCGGTATGATCGGTGGCTGTACACCTCCCGTTTTGGGCTTCTACCCCCCCAGTTGATGTCGCACAAAAACAAGTCACGCCAAAACTTACAAGACTGGTTGGTGTGGTGTAATAGCTTTTTTCTTTTTCTTTTTCTTTCTTCATCTTCAAAATCAGACTGTTCCAGAATTCAAATGAATATACTACATTGTGCAATGCAAGCTCATTCAAACTTATAATGACTGGTGATGAGAGGTGTACATATAGCTTTCTTCTTCTTCTTCTTCTTGTTCTTAATCAGACTGATTAGAATTCAAATTAATATACTAATTCTGTGATGAATATAACTAACTATGAGCAAACTACTTTGTAACATAACATAAGGTATTCTATCTAAAGAGGCCATCTCTACCACATGCATCTTCATCTCTAAATGCTTTCCTCTGTCTCTGCCTCCTTAGCCTTTCACTCAGT